CTTTGACTGTGACAACCTTCACCGTGGAAATGTAAAATGGTGTGACCATGCAGAAAATAGTATGTCAGCTCCTGGAAAATTTAAACATAGAATTGCCATATGATTCAGCAATTCTGCTTCTGGGTATGTACACCAAAAATTGAATGTTTGTGCACCTGTGTTCATAGCAACATTATTTGCAATAGGCAAAAGGTGGGAGCAACTCAGAAGTTTATTGACAGATGAAAGAATGAAATGTGCTTTATACATGCAATGAAAAATTATTGAGCCTTAAAAAGGAAGGAGATTCTGACACACGCTACAGCATGCATGAACCTCACCATCACGCTGAGTGAAATAAGCCGGTCACAAAAGGAGAAATGCTGTGTGACTCTACCTATATGAGGTCCTGAGAATCGTCAGATTCATTGAGACAGAAAGTAGAGTGGTGGGCGCCAGGGGCTGGGGGAATGGGGAGTTGGTGTTTAGTGGGGACAGAGTTTCAGTCCTGCAAGATGAAAAGAGTTCTGGAGGGCCAGCCCGGTGGCGCACTGCTACAGTGCGCCGCTTGGGAGTGCGGCGGCGCTCCCGCCGAGGGTTCAGATCCCACATACAGACCAGCCACTCATGGGCTGAGCGAGGTGCGGGCACAACACCGAGGGTTGCAATCCCGTTGCCGGTCCTGGTCCGGTACGGGCGCGACACTGAGGGTTGCGATCCGTTGCTGGTCACGAAAAAAGACAAAAAGGAGAAAAAAAAAAAAAGAGTTCTGGAGATGCATGGTGGTGACAGCTGCACAATAATGTGGATGTACTTAAGGTCACTGAACTGTGCACTTAAAAATGGCTAAAGATGGTAAATTTTATGTTATGTGCATTTCACCATAATTTTTTTAAAGATCTGGAGTTAAACTTTCTTAAAAAAGAAAAAATGACATGAAACACACACACACACCAGTCAGTATAATCCGTTCTGCCAGCAGATGGAATCAAGCCCTGGGGAAATCCAGATCAGAGAGATCCACCAGGAGCTGAGCACTCTGCAAGTTTTGCCTGGAAATGGCTGTTCCTGGTGGAAAGTTCAGGAAGCATGGCCTTCCCCAAACAGAAAACACCAGATCACTCAGACTTGAGAAAAACTCTTTTCAGTTTTGTACTAGTCCCAGGGAAAGCTGTGGCTAATTTCAACATGGCTATCAAGACATATTTTAATTTTATGTGCACATATGCACCAGAGACAGGCCCCGGTGGAAATCGAGAATGTGACTTCGGTATTTAGTGTGACTCCTTCTCCTGCTCCTCCAAAGCAGGAGTAGGTTTCCCTCCAGGAGAATGCAAGTTTTTTTTTGTTTTTTATTTTCCCTTTTTGTCTTTTTTCATGACCGGTAACGGGATCACAACCCTCGGTGTCGCACCTGCACCGCGCTCAACCAGTGAGTGGACCGGTCTCTATATGGGATCCGAACCCTCGGCGGGAGCGCCGCTGCACTCCCAAGCGCCGCACTCTACCGAGTGCGCCACCGGGCTGGCCCCGAGACTTGCAAGGTTTTGCCAGTGTCTGTGGTCACAATCATCCACTGAAGGAGGCAGGGCAATGGTTAGCTGAAGACTGGACCCCTGGAACCGAGGCGAAAAATGCTCGTAATTCTTTTCCTTGCCTGTCTCCCATCCCCATTTGCCTGTAGTACTTCCAGGGATCGCCACCCACATAAACTCCTTGCAGTCCCCACCAAAAAAGCTAAGCATAGTTAGGGGGTATGTGCATGCCAGATCAATAAAAGGGTAGACTGTATGGGATTGTCTGGCGGCCTCATCACACCCTCCTGAGGCTGGAAACCACGTTCCCGAGGCCCATCTGTGGCATTTCCTGGACCAGAGCTTGTCAAGGAGCAGAGCGTGGGTCAGGGTGGAAGGTGAGTCACACGGGAGCTATTGCTCCCAGGAGGTGGCTTGAGCTTCTACTCCAGGCTCGTGTGGCCAGATGGGCCAGCCACCCGGGGTTCTTTGGGCCCATGCAATACATCACCGCTTCTCCGATTCTCTGGGTACAGCCTTCCAGACTTCCAGGTCCCAGCTCTACCCACAGCCCTGTATTAAACCCCTATTTCCCTAATAGTGTGATGTATCTGTTTTCTGACCCAACACATAGGGACAGAGAGAGAGAGACAAAGGGAGGATGAGGGACAGAGGCAGAGGTGCTGTGGGGGAACCTGTAGATTAAAAGAAGCCTATCAACCAGTAGACCTTGTCTGGCCCCCGCTCCCTGGGGGAACACAGGGCAGCTGCTAGAGACTGAATGTGGGTGTCCCCCCAGGTTCCTATTTTGAAACCTGATCTCTGTGTGATGGCGTTAGGAGGTAGGGCCTTCGGGAGGTGACTTGTCATGAGGACGGTGCCCCCATGAATGAGATTAACACCCTTATAAAAGAAACCCCAGGGCTGGCCGGTTAGCTCCGCTGGTTAGAGTGCAGCTTTATAACACCAAGGTCACCAGTTGGGATCCCAGTACTGGCCAGCTGCCCCACCCCCAAAAAAACCTAAACAAATAAAAGAAACCCCGGAGAGCTCCCTCGCTCCTTCCACCACGTGAGGACACAGTGAGAAGACGGCCATCCGTGAGCCAAGAATCAGGTCCTTACCAGACACCAAACGTACTGGTGCCTTCATCTTGGACTTCCAGCCTCCAGACTGTGAGAAATAAATTCCTGTGGTTTATAAGCCACCCAGTCTATGGTGTTCTGTTACAGCCGCCCCAGCGGCCCAGGACGGCGGCAACAGGACTCCACACACTCAGGCAAAGGACGACTTTCCCACTTACAAGCGCCTCTCGCTTGTTTAGAGAGAAACAAATTTCCACACCAAATAAGGCGGTGGACTTCAGAGCCGGCGGCAACAGGACTCCACACACTCAGGCAAAGGACGACTTTCCCACTTACAAGCACCTCTCGCTTGTTTAGAGAGAAACAAATTTCCACACCAAATAAGGCGGTGGACTTCAGAGCCTCTGCCCACTTCACACAATTCCTTTTAAGTGTCCAAACGTAATTACACTTGGAACTTGCCTGGATTCGGCCTCCCCCGGCCTCCCCGTGTAAACAAGCGGCCCAGCTGGTCCCCAGCTGGCTGCCCTGGAGAGGAGGGGACAGGTCACCACCCTGCCTGCTGACCGCCCAGCCTCTCTCTCGGCCTTGGGCATGGTCCATGAGCCTCCAACATCCCAGAGCCGCACACCTACCCCACCCCACTCCCCGAATAAAAAGGCCCCCGGAGGCCAGCTGCGCCATGCCGGGAACAGCCCGAGGCTCCCTCCTCTGCTCTGAGTTTGCACTTGGGCAGGACAAGCGAGACGAATGCAACTCACAGGGCAGGTGCAGGGAAGCCCTATTTCTCCATCCTCTTCGAGAAGCCCACGGAGGCACGCCTCTCCCAATCTGGGTGTCTTCTACTCCCACAGGGAAAGCTTGCAATTCCCTCGGGCTTCCTAGGCTGTGAGAAAGTTGGCCCAGGGCAGAAATGGCCCTCCCCGGGTGGCTTCCTGCTCTTCACCACCCCATCCTCGCGGCCACCCCTCCGGCTCCTGCACCCCTCCGCCCCCAGGCTTCAGCTTGGTGCCCGGCCACTAACCCATTCCGGGACCCCGCAGGGCTCGCTGGGGGGAGGCTGACTCATCCTCCCGCTGAGCGGCACACACACCAGGCACCAGAGCCCGCCAATTTCCCCGCTCGGCCCAGGCGAGCGCTGTGATTTTCCACTTGCACCATCTGATTGCCATTAGGGCTGGGGGAAAGGGAATTCCTGGTTCCATAAGCCCACAGGGGGCCCCCAGGCAGATTCCAGAGTGGGAAGGGGCGTGGGTGCCCCCTGGGTGGTGCTGCCCAGCCAATTCCACTCCACCCTTCCATGGAGCCCTCACCCTGCTGACCCCCAAGCTTCTCTGCATTAGCCCCTCAGTAAATGAAACAATGGGGGAGGGACAGGCCCCTCCTGGGCCTGCACACCCCGAAATGCCCAGTAGGAGCAGACCAAAGGCACCAGGCAAGTGGACAGCCCGGTGCCCCCTCTCCCGGGCAGCCTGGCCAAGCAGCAGGATGCGAGGGAGATTAACTGCTGGACTCGGGCCGCAGTGCTCAGGCCAACGTGACGTCACCAGGCGGAGAGATGAGTTCCCAGTGGGGCTTGGGGGGGCTCCTGAGCGGGGCATTCCTTCCTGAAGCCTCATCCCTGCTCAGCCCCTCCTCCTCCCCTGCCCCCTCCCCCTCCTGCCGGGCCTGGAATTGGGTTTGGGGCGGGTTCTGCTTCCAAAGCCATATCCTCCTGCAGGCGAGGGCTCGTCCTCCACTCTGAGCTCGCATTTTCCGAGGCTCCGGGCAGTGTTTGGTGCTGGCCTGCTGCCCTGGTGGGTCGGCCAGGAGAGGCGGGAGGAGCCCTCCACAAAGGGGAGGCCTCCGTGGATCAGGACGGTCGCAGGTAGCTGCATGGGGCCCAGGGACCAGGGGAGGGTGTTCCAGGAACCGGGGCTGCAGGGCGAAGGCCAGGCAGGGAAGGAAAGTGAAGCAGGGTCCGTCAGGGCAGGCGGCTCCTAGAAATCCTGAGGCTCCAAGCAGGGAGCCCTGAGACCCCAGAGCAGGGCTGTCAACCACTAGAGGATCTCTTCCCCCAGTCTGGAGGCTCCAGGATTCCCAGGGACACTGAGGAACTTTGAGTGTCCTACTCCTGTGCGGCAGGCCCTGCCCACCCCCGCAGCTGGCCTCACCCCCAGCCCCAAGCCATCCTCCACTTCCAGCTCCTGCTCTGTCCTCTTGTGGGTGGGGGCTCCCCTCTGTCCCTCCCTCAACCTTGCAAGCCGTCCAAGCGTGCTTTCTGGAAGGGCTGCAAGGGAACACCCAGTGGGCAGTGTCCCAAGCGCAGGGAGATGGCTCCCACCACTCTCATGCATGCCGCCTTCCACGAACAACAAGCCCCAGCTTGGGGCAGCTGTGGGGCCAGCCCTGGGGTGGACACTGAGGGACCCGCCTCAGCAGCCACAGCAGGTCGGGCAGTGAGTCCCTCCTTCTCCCAGGCCAGCAGCCTGATGCGGTTGCTGGCCTCAGATGGAGGCCGTGCCTGAGATGTTCTGCAACGTCTCTATTCCCCCAGATAAGCCTCTTCAGTCCAAGTTGTGAGTAGGGGACTCGGGGACCTGGAGTGAGAAAACTCAAGTTCTCTCTGTGTCTGCGGGGAGGGACAGACAGGCCCCTCTTATAGCCAGTGCCCTCAGGCCCAGCCCAGACAGTGGCCAAGGGATGAGGAGAGGGGCTGGGATGGCCGGGCACAGTTGAGCGCAATCGGGGCTGGGTCATGGTGGGGTGGGGCTGAAAGGAGACAAGGCCAGAGGAGGTACACAGGTGGCTGGGCCATCCTTGGACTTGCATTTCATGGGAGGGTCAGGAGTGAGCTGAGCTGGCAGCTTTTGGGGTCAGCTTTAGTGGAAACTAGTTCTGTCACAGCCCCAATCCCACCCGGAGGACACACACGCTCACACGCATCCCAGGCACGTGTCACACACGTCTCTTAACATGGCCCATCTGGGGTCCACCTGGCTTCTAGATCTCTCTGTGCATGAGTGAAATTGCGTTTCAGATCGTCCCTGGCAGGACAAGGACAAGGGCACAGAGACACACACGGGTGGAATCAGTCAGCAGAGAAGTGAGCTAGGAGCCCCTACCACACGCCCACCCTTGCGGGGCTCTGTGAGGTTGGGGTCTAGCCTGGCAGGGTTGAAGGTGAGGCTCTCCAGAGTCAGGACACCCCTGGGGACAAAGCTTGGGACCCAGACCTAAGGGGGTGGTGGGCGTCTAGAAGGACCCCCAAGAGAATGGGAGCTGCGGAGGGTGTTCGGGGGCCTGGAAGGATGGAGGGTAGGCGGGCAGGTCTGGGGCTGCAGGCCCGGGGAAAGCTTGGACAAGCCCCAGCGCGTGGAGAAGCACGCGGCCGGCCGGTGCAATGGGACCAGCGCGTGGAGAAGCACGCGGCCGGCCGGTGCAATGGGACAGTGGCCAACTAGAGTGGAGACGGTGCGTGGGGAGCAGCTGCTGTCTGCAAGTACAGTGCCCACTCATCACGCACGCACCCCAGGGTGCTCCCCCTGAGCACCGGCCGGCCCCCGCGCAGAGCCACCCGCAGG